AAAAAAAAAAAGCTAAGACCTCTAAATTTTTGCTTCCCTTAAACTGTATAAATACTGTAGATGTAGAGTCATGTAGATATTACCTCTTTAATGCCCAGTTCTTTTAAGACCTAAGCAATCCTTTAAAAACATACTGACATATCTCAGCAAAGGCAGACAGCTGACACTATTGAAAAACAAAAAGACTCACTAGCTGCTGTTGCAACTGGTTGAGCAATATTAGCTGGTGGCTTCAGTTTCATGAGTTCGTTCAGACTATTATTTTTTAGTAGGTCCTTCAGTTGAACTTGGTCTTTCGCCGGTGCCGAGGTCATGGCATTTCGTACTGCTGGTGCTGAGACTGAAGGGCGTGTGTTTGCAGTAGTCTGAATAAACTTTGTTAAAGTAATGGTTTGCCTGTTCGTTGTTACAGGTGGTGTTTTAGTCATCACAATTGTAGATCCTAAGGTCGGAAGCTGATTTATCTGATTCAGCACAAATGTTGTCGTAGATGGAGGCTGCTGCTAGAAGAGAAAACCATACACATCATACCCATGAAAAATTCCTTCTTTAATGCAGCCCATATCCATAAACTCAGTAGGACATTAAAAAATCTAAAACTGACTTAATCTTACCTAACCATTGGGATTTCATTTTTAATAGAAAATGATTGGCTATAAACTATCAAGTTAAAACACATTACTTTGAGGAAAAGAAGGCACAGGAGGAGTTTGGGGACAGTAAGCGTAAAATGAGACTATCCTAAGCAAGCTGTAATGTATAGTAACCCCAGAGAACACAAGGACTAGGAGCATAATTTATAATCCCAGCACTGTCCCAACTAACAAGATAAACTTAGGCAAGTCACTTCACCTCTGGAGGCCTGGGCTCTCTGAAGACCATCTTCCATTTCTAACACTCTGTGATTCCTGTCTAATACTCCATCTGCTAACATACAGACTACACTAATGTTTAACTTATTAAGATAAAATTACCAAGCAGAATTTAAAACTCCTATGTCACATGAATGATCCACCCAGGTATATTACAAATGTTGGTGATAATGTGAATGCTTTCTCTGAGCCTAAGGCAAAGCTACAAAGCATTTTATTTTTTATAGTTGGGAGAGAGGTGTGGTTAGGAGCTGGACAAGAATGAAAAACAAGTCAAGATTTGAGGATAACAATATGTCTGTGACTACGGCAAATAAAGTACAACTAAGAGTTTTTCATAAATTTAAGTCTATTTCTACTTTCTTTACCCTTCAAATTATGTTATTTTTCCATGACTCCGACCCATAAGAATCTTCTAGATTACTACTTATCACTTTTAAGTACGGCTCTCAACAATTTATCCTAAGTCATTAAATTTTAAACAGTTTATCCAATAATTTTATACCAGTAGGCTTAAATTAATAATTGTTAAAGAAAGGCCAGAGGAATGCTACTTTTAAAGCACAATTACAATTACATAAAAATTATATACATCAATGGATGAAACCCAAAATAAACAAGTAAAAATGAAAAGTGTAGTAGGATAATGTGTAGTTCCTCTTCACTTCATCAATTTTGTATTCTCTGCAATAAATAAACTCAAAAAATGTTGTTCTGTCCTAATCTTTTGATCAGCGTAACTACCAGAAGAATGAAAGAAATGTTTTACAAAGTAGGAGGTGAGTAGAATATTGGGAAAGAAGTAGCAAAAAGCAGAACTAGTGAGATAGAACTATTTCATGTTAAAGGGTAGAGTCTTACTACAATCCTAAACTAGTTTCGTAGTGATGCCAAATCTAAGCAATTCTTACCCTAACATTTAATAGTGCTGGAGTAGGTACCGTCTCTGGTTCTTGTTTAACAGGAACTGCTGCTTCAGTCTCCAAACCTAGTTCTAATGCACTAAGTGGCACTGACTGGAGAGAAAACAACATCAGAGAAAGAAATAAAAAATGACGGCAGCGAACAAGAGACGTATTTATTAACATTTTTTAAAATTTCAAGCTTTACATTCAAATGGAATGTAAAATCACTGATTCCAAGTATAAAGCAGCAACCTGTGCAAGCATAACATCTTCACTAAACTACACTAGTACCAGAATCTTACTGTTGTTTTCAGAGAATGTGTACAGTGAAACTTCAGAAAAACATTTTTACAAAGACAACTACTGAGATTAGTGATCTTCCCACAATAACCTAAACAATTCACTTTTTACTTTTATTTCATATGTCAAGGCAGAAAATGTCTTGACTTTCATTGCACATATTTTCCACATTATGAATGAGGACTAACAACCTAAAAATAACATTCATGTGCATATTTAAAATTAAGGCTTAATCATACAGTATTTTTTTTTTAGAGATTAAAATTAAGAAGAAGCTCACTTTTTACAGAGACTTTGGAGAACTCTTACCTGCTGTACTGGAGGGGTAGGTGTTGCAGTTGCAAGCCCCGCATCTCCACCATCAATATCAAAGAGGTCATTCGGACTAATTCCACTCTCACTCAAAGCAGCAAGCAGTAAATCTTGCCCTGGCTCCACCATCTTTAGAACAAAATATTAAATATCAACAGAAAAAACTTAAAAATGACAATTAACTCTCTTCTAAATATAAATCAACATTTTCGACCAGATTCACTCATTCAATATTTATGAAGAATCTACGTATCAGGAGAAAAAGAATGAAAGAGAAATAATCTCTAATCCCCAAAACTTCATATTAAGATGGACAAAGGAGTATATAAGTCACAGCAGGAATGTATGTCTACGAAATGCTGTGAGAACAGAGAAGGAAATGCTGAATTTGCTAGGGGAGAAAGGTTACAAAGATGACAATGGAACTTAGTCTCAAGGAAGAAATCAGGTGGACAAGGATCTTCTAGACAGTGCGTTCAAACTCATGGGGGCATGAATGATACTGGCACGCTAAGAAAGATGTCTAGAGTAATTCAACATGTATATGGAAGCCCAGAACAGAAGTACGAGGTTCAAGTCGGTGATGGCAAGAGATGAGGAAGTCATTGCCCAAAGCCCTGAACACCATGCTAGAGAGTACATTTAATCCTGTAAATAACAGGGGTCACTTAAGGGTTTTCAGATAGAGGATTTCATGACGTAGTCAGATTTGTGACTTAGAAAAGTTACTCTACAGCAGTGTGGAAGGAAACTGAGAATGGGTAGCATAAGATCAAAGCAGGGAGACATCTCAGGAAACTGCTACAGCAGACCAGGAAAAAGATGATGTGCTTTAATAGCAAGATGTCTATAGAGAGAATAAGGGGGAATGGATTCCAAGGAGAATTCATAAGACTAAGTTTAAATAAAAGCTCAAAATAACATAGCTTTCTCAATTTTAACTTTTCTCATTATCTACAATAACCAATTTATATATACAAACATACGAAATTTGACCACTTTTTTCCTCAGAGAACTAATTTCATTTTACATAAATAATACATTAATTTTCAGCTAGTCCATTTGTTCTCACACTGTGTAATAGAATTAAGTGTCACTGTTAAATTATGTCATACAAAAAGAAAGGTGTTAGCCAAGAATACTGTGACCACAACTTCCAATACATTAAGAACTACTATTTTAGCTGAAAGCAAGATATTTAATAGAGAAATCCTCAACCAGATAGGTCTATGTCACATTAGCTTGTGCATCATTTAGAAAGATGTTCTAATGGAAACATCAATGAGTTTAAGGTGGAAACCACAGACATCCTAAAATGAAACTAAGGGCAGACCTGCTGTTTAAAGGAAGGGAGGAAGGACAGATAGTCCAAAGGAGATTTCCCAAAAAATTTTCAGAGAAATTAAAATAAGTCTAAGGAAGAAAACATTCTGAGCAGGCAGGAGGAAGGGAAGGAAACTGACAATGACTACGTATCGTTCACAAGCCTGGCACAGTGTTTATGTTCTTTATGTACATCACTAGTCCACAGCAACCCTGAGCAAGATAGGTACTATAATTCTAGAGATGAAACTCAGGCTTAAAAAGCTTATATTACTGCCCAAGGTCACACCCAGATCTAGACTGTTCAAACTCCCAAAGCCCACCCATTCTCTTTTCAATGAGCATATTAAGAAGTCAATGTTGGTAATCTACAGAGTTTCAATATTTAACCTTGGAATAAATGCCAGTCTGAGATTAAAATTGGAAGAGGGAGTATTAGTATTAAAGAGCAAGATGGAGACAGTATGAAGGAACCAGACAGCAGAGGAGATAAATGGGAGCATTGTCCCAACATGGATTTAATATAAAGTTGATCCATTTTTCTACTACAGACATAGTCGACCACACTTTATAAATTACTATCTTAGGACAAAGCTCAAATACGTACCATGAGAGCTAAAGCAGCACTTTTAAAACATTTTCAATCTTTAAAATAATTCATTAGGACCAATGATCTGTGGGTTTATGGGGTCTTGGGCCACTTGTTATTGCTAATTTTGATCTAGATTAACAATTCCTTAGACTATCAAAATATCATCTTTCTTTAATAAATACTGGAAATAACGGTCTGTTTATATTTGGGGAAAAAGTACATTGTTTTAAACCAATCCTAAACTATAGGCCACAGAAACCTTGGAGGCCAAGGAATCCATTAATCCATCAGATGCACACCAAGCCTTGTCTAATTAGACTCAAAAGTACAGAGACATCATTAATTAACAACAACAACACAAACACTGAAAAGTGTTACTGAATTCATGAGAGCTTTCTGAAATACATTTTCTAAATAATTAGCATTTAAAGTACAAAAACATCATCAGAGAAGGAATTTGAGGGAAAAACTTGTTGGTGTTCATACAAATGACAATAGTTATAAATAACATTATCAGTGACCAACTCAAAAGTCATTTGTAGGAATCACAATTTGAGACCCTCTGATCTGAGAAGTCACCTAGCAATGTCAATGTCTATAAAAGACACTGTCTTTTGACACACTATTAATAAAAGGGCTTTTAATTTTATATATTTCTCATATACAAACAAAATCTAGGGATCCTTTCTCTCAAGCCAATTGGGCACAAATTCTCTACCTGCACTTTTTTGCAACGAGAAGGAGGAATGGGGCTAGAGAGGGAACATCAATGCCATCCTCTAGCTCCATTAAGCAAAACTCTTAATATTTAATCATATTCCTATTCTGAAACTATTACAGACTCACAGAATATCAGTGCTCAAGCTGAGAGCCCTTAAAAGGTTATATAATCCAATCTTCTCATTTTACAAATAATTAAGATTTATTCCTGAGAGGGAAAACAACTGTTTTTCTCTTCTTTTTTTTTTTTTACAAATTTCATTTTGAACCCACTAAACACAATGTAAACACAAATACCATTAGGTGCAAAAAGAACTGTTCTACAGTGTGTCGACAAAGATTTCACAGACCTCAGGTGACATTCAACATGTAGCAATCTAACAAAAGTTACTAACCACAGAGTGATTCTATCTCAAACAATGGACAACAAAAATGTTCCATTTTTATCTTAAATACATTTGGGAAAAAAATCACCTATTCCAAAAAAATACACCTATGAAAGCATCAATGACAAATAAGAAACAAGGACAAGTAGTAGAAACTTAGAGCCATCTTTGGCAAGAGAACCCTGAGAAACAATAGCCAACCAGAAGAATGGAAGGATACATTTCCCGCTGAGAACACCAACACTGAAACCTATCAACAAGGACAAGGTTCCCCTTGTTGAGCACAGAGCAGATCCTTACAGCTCCGGGCAGATACAAGGGGTGTGCCCGCGGTGATGGCGGCACAACACTGAGGCTGAGGAGACTACGAAGTCAAGCAGGATGCGTGATTTCAAGTATTGGCTACATCGCCCACTAGTAGTATGATACAGTCAGGGAATAACTACTGCCAGTCACTTTCCTCATCTTCACGTGGGAATAAAAATAGAACCTACCTTATAGGCTTGTTGGACTGAGTAAATTTTATACTATTTGGAATAAATATTAGCTACTAGCTATTAACTATCATTTTGATCAGTATTAGTATCACATCCAAAAAATGTTTTCTTTCAAACTGCTGATGCAAAACTTTATTTTCCAGAGCATAAACTTTACTTGTTGGCAATTTATACAATAAATAACATCCATATTAGTTCTGTAAAATACTAGCTCCCTTTTACCCAAAAGTGTCATATATCCAGTTTGTCCAGTTAATCAGTTAGCGTGTCTTGAGGAAACTCGTAGACATCTTTAAATGCGTACATAAATAATATGTAAGAAGTATCTGCGTGAAAAGGAGTTTTCCTCGTTACTTAACAGTGTTAAGCATGTCTAATTTCTGACCCAGCTTCAACTTTGCTTTTATTTAGTCTGGATATGATGACTCAATGTAAACATTCAGTTTAAAAATTTGAAC